CATGAAGTGTTTCGTTGCTCCACGAGAAACTCATGAACTGTAGTAAATGATTTACGTTCAACCAGAATGGCCAATCACATTTTCCTAATCTCTTTATGGACGGAAATCACCCGTGCCAAAAATAAGACAGAGTCGTTCCTTACTTAGCCCTGCTATGTAACCTTCATTGTGCGTCGACGCTAAAGCTGTTGTACGCAATTCAACAGGCTTTCTTGGTTCATCTATGCCATACAGCAACTGTGACGTGACCAAGACATGATACAGACAGAATTTTGTGAAATGAGCTATGCTCATAAATAAGACGCACTGAATTCGATGACACTGAATGAAACCGACGCAGCGAAGAGCTGATGAAGCGGCTGATCAAGAGATTTGCGAGTTCCTTCCCAGGAATATTTTTTCAGTGATCAAGCAACTGACTACCTTCATTTATGACTTCTGACAAAAATGAAAAATTACTAGACCTTCGCAAATAAGCAATCGTAGAACACTAGCCTAAATAGTCCTCTATGATATATGCTGGGACTACAAGCTGAAGAACTGTCAGAATAAGAAAACAAGCTCTCATAATTTCGCAACATTGACTGCACGTAATTGCTCCAGTTAAGCGAGTTCCAAATCTAATACAACACATAGGTAGTGTTTCACGGAGAAGAGAAAATGGGCCGGTCATATGGCTCGCCAGAGAGACAACCGGAGGATGCCAGGAATAACAAACTGGGCCCCGCTGAACCACCAACGAAGTCGGTCGTTCCAAGAACACGTTGGAAGGATCCGGTGTTCAAATTACTTGATAAGCGGCGGATGCAGAAAGCGAAAAGCAGAGAATATTTAAGGATGATCGACTTGCATTCATTGCATCCACATAACCAACACGAGGACATGCCAAATAATGACTATCTTGAAACTTTAAAAAATCTATATTACCCTAGGGCTACATATTTTCTTCTGTAGATCTTCTCTAGCGCGGATGCACACACAGTCAGTCAGCATGTTTCGATGACTGCTTAGCTTTTCTGATCGTGAAGGCAGCTGCATCAGACAGCGTTTCCAACGATGTCTGAACTCGTGCTAGCTTCTGAGCTTCAGAAGATGAGAACCAGAGGCTGGAGCAGATTTGTCGAGAACATTTCCCAGGTTATTCTTCTTCGTTCCCGGTGCCTTCGACTGGTCGGTTAAGCAAATTGTAGTTGCTTTGCCTTCTCTACTAGACGCATTCACAACAGCTGTCCAAGCCATTGGGGCTGTGATTCCTCAATCTAAAGAAACAGTGGCTGCACACCGAAGCTCACTGGGACATCTGTACTTCGGACTACGTGAAAACGCGTAAGGCCACAGATTCGCCTCAGAAAGTACATATCAACCGTTTGATACTTTGGATCAGTTTTTCAATCATGACCACAGGTGAGCAGACGGAGGGCAAAATTCGACATGAACACAGACGTCGCTGTCAGACTGACGGTTACACTCAGTGTGCTTATAAATGTAGAACTGTTTCTGGAAAATAACGGCTTGTTGCTGCAAGTAAACCCTGCTTTGCAACACTCGATTCCAAATATTTTTCGCTAACCATCGGTATCGAAATATTTAGTACTAATGCCTCTCAGTCGTCTCTTGCAACCTCCTCACTCCGTTGAACTGTCCATTTTCTAGACTTTCTCACGCTCCTTCAGCATGGAAACGTTATCTCCTGTGAATAAGTTAATAAAGAAGACACTCGCACACTTAACGGCTAATATTTACTTGGGGAGCTACATAACGAGAAACAGAACCATACATCAACGACAGACGACGATTCATAGCAAACCACCAATTATCATTAAAGCGCTTTAACACCCATACCAGGATAATCATGAATAATCATCGATGACCTTCCAACAAGCATACCAGTACGAGTAAGAACACAGATAATGTCGGTCAAAATACATCAACGAAAACAGCAACTGAAAAAATGCCTCTGTTTCGCCTCGCGTAAGCCAACCGCAACGAAGGTAGACACGCTTCGCGTTCCTCTTCATGTGACTGCCGCAGGATCTTTGTCACGCGTCACTAAATTAATTTCCATCTGATCGTTCTTCGCTGATGCTCTGGCCATCATCGTTGGCAGGCCAGCCCTGAACAATGAATCAACTGTGTAAAGGATACTTATGATGCCTTCAAGTAGCCGCTTGCTCATGATATTAACTTATGATCAATGTTGCACTAGCTGACCGCCTATAAGCGACTACGGAACTGAGGAAATGTTCCAAAAGGCGCTTAAATGATCAATCTTCTAAATATCTTTACCATTTTGGCAGTAATTAATACATCAGCGTGCAGCCACGACACAGACAACTTATGAACCGCTAGACATTTAGGTGTGCTTACTGTTAGTACAGAGACCTCGACTTAGCAACATTCAGACATATTATTATAAAGGGCTATGGAACAAATGCATTATAAAAATTACGCGTCTACAATACCCACATATCACCTAACCGCGGTCTTCCACAAGGCAGACTGCCAAACATAGTTTGAATGCGCCCTTTTCAGCCTCCTCTGTTTATCGTTGAACACGAACGTGCTGCGTATTTGTATTCACACAATTTAGTAATTTTAGGTGCTTGTGTGTGCTTCATAACTGGAAAGAGGAGAGGTAGAGACAAATTTTAAAATGTTAACGAACCACCGTGTACACGCACTCTAAACTTGTAAGCAATATGATGTGATTAAATCTGAGTGGGGCTGAGGCATGAATTAAACCTGACTTCGAAAAAATCTATGCTAAGATAAGGCTTGCAAAACGTAAATCTTAAATCAGAGATTGCAAAAGGATGGGACTAACTTCGGCGCACTTCCTTCATATCGTAATGAGAAATTAGGCATGCGCCAAGAGACACCCTGTTTAATCAGGACCAGTTGATTCTGCCACAAAGCGCTTAAAACGAAGAACTATGTAGGAGACCTAGTGACCAAGGATGAAAGAAACGAGACTAGCTACGCTCTATCAACACTCATTTACTCGTTATTTGGAGCAAAAATGTACTCACTTTTTTCCTAATGCCATGATTCCATACAACATTGCTGTGATGAAAATCAAAACGCATCCAAAGAAGGTAGACAGCTCCAAACACAACAACACCGGAATGATGCTCACTCTGAAACGAAACAAGTCACAGAAGATAAAAGACACACGCGAAACCTTCACCGTACATTCCGTATATGAGGGTCTTCCGCCAGTGAGGCTGCGCCTCAGAAAAAGAGCCGATACGATCAATGAAGTCAAGACATGGGCAAAAACACGGTGCTTCCATGGCGACGACGAACAGTCCGATGACCCTAAAATGGCAAATAGACTCGAGTACCCGAAACCATCCTCGCCCAAACATATACATTTGTGTCAGTCCAGCGACGAGACACAGCGCGTGGAACGAGATGCATGCAAACAAGCCGAGCGCTACGGCCACTAAAGAAAACGTAGAAATTAAAAAACGACCAGCAGAACAAGATTAAAAAGGGAAAATACGCATTTATTGCAGGCTAGGACAATCAATTTTGTGTCGAATTAAGCTCTAACGGCTCCTGAGTCACGTGATAATTCGAACTACATGATTTAAAATCGTGCCGCTCATGTGATCTTTCATATCGAACGCAGGTCAGGCGCAGGCAACAAAGTTATGATATAAGCTGCAAATATAAATCAGTAAAGTAATCGCAAAAAAAGAACCTCCGAAGGCGTACCTTTTCGAGGCGCCGTTCGGTCCAGTGCTCGACCTAAACGCCATCACTTCAGATCACGACGATATGGAAATTGCGAATTATAAGGTCAGGTCAATGAGAAGAAGATATCACCAACTGTTTTAATTGTCACTGTTGCCCTGATTCACGTCTTGTAAACCTAATTAAAGCATACTGCCGCAGGACATGAGCAAGAGTCCGGGCCTACAATGAATTGACAAACTTTTTGACACTGCCTCTGGCGTCCTTCAAGGTTGCATTCTTTCCCCTGCTCTATTCAGCTTCGTCACTGACGAACTTTCCCTTGTTCTTTTCATGCAAACAGCACTGAAAGATTTTGCCAGAATTGAAGCTAGTCTTGGTAACTACGCTACTTATGTGAACTATGCGGAAGACTTCGTCATTATGTCATCGGCATGCCCATTATGCCTATAAGGGAATCAATGTCGGAACTGTGGAACTAGTTTTTAACTCAATAAAAACTAAAATACTCCCCAAAGGGATCCAAGAAAAAGAGAAAAAACTCATCCTCCTGTGTGTCACCCTTAAAGAAGTTACCGCGTTGAAAACACCTTGATTCACTGATTCTTCCTTATGGACAGTCTAATGATGAAATTACGGCGCTGATAGGAGCAGCAAAGAAGCTTTGTTTCAGCACTGCACACCGTGGTGGACACGTTGAAAGATCAGTATGATGACGAAGTCTGATTCTGTAGACCACCATTCGCTCCATCCTCCTTTACGAATGTAAAAGCCGACCCTAGAAGTCGAAACGTGAAGAAACCAGAATCATCTGACCACCTGTGTTTACGAATCATATCGCGGACAGGATTTATCGACCATGTATCCAACGACATAAATCGTACCTGTTGTAACACCATACACATACCTCTCAACCGTACTGTAAAAACCACGACTGCTTGATTGGGACACGTGCTGAGTCGTGAACCAGACGACAACACGTCCTATACCAATCGCCACATAGATTAATGGATGGCACCGCAAAATAGGCGGATGAGTTTGAGTAAACCCTT